ATAAATTCTTTCATGGTTAATTAGTAGTGTAGTAATTTTGACACGTGCGAATTTTTACGGTACCGATTAATCATTACATTTGTGGTGGGACTAGTAATTTAGTGAATTTGATTTGTAGATGGAATCGGAGGTGTTGAAGAGTATTTTTAATTGAGCTTGGACTTCCTCGACGTTTACGATGATCGACATCTTGAAGTAAAACCGACATACAATTTGCCTAATTGGATTGATAAACGCAATTAAAATTTTTGAAACATTTGGTGTGTGGTAGAAGAATAAGAAGAAGCAACGAGAGGGAAAACTTTAAAATGAGGATGATCTAACTAGCGAATCACGAAGAAGGAAATCTCGTGTTGCTTTGCCTTTGCCTTTGCCTTTTTAGCTCTTAATAGTTTTTCGGTTTTATGATACTAGATTCAATTGATGGACAATAGATACCAATGCTTGTAAAATTATACTTTTTTCATTCTCGAAATTTCCATCTCCTACTTACCTCCAGGAATCTCGTCTTTTTAACAGCTTACGACCCTGCGTCATTTCATAAAAAAAGAAAAATTGAAATTAGCAAAAGGGTATTTGGGGGTTAAGTGTAATTTGCAATGTGACCGTAATTACATTAAATAATATATTTATTTATATTACAAATAAAACCCACATTGGGTATCATTCCGTACTATTCTTAGTGTTTTTCCCTCCGACGATCAAGTCAGCAAATATGTTGAAGTGTGTATTATGTATTTAGTAGAAAACCAGCTAATTATTGATAAAAGATGAGTTTGTGAGTCTAAATTGTCAAATTGCCCAATAAGGCCCAAATAGTGCTTAATGGGCCATCAAGTTAACAGCAGACACGTGATAAAGCACGTGTTCCAAATGCAAACAGTGTCGGCTACACGATAAAAAATCACGTGTTTGAAATTTGAATTCCAAAGCAACCAATCATATAAACACATTTATTGGACACACACCGTAGCTAGACTCACTCGGTATGACTTCCGGGTTCTCACTAACCGCTAACCGCTAACCAAATCCACATTTTTTGTAAGATTTTAACGTGTTCAAGATTGGACAATTAGAGCACAAAACACACGTGTATTTGTTTGTTGTAGATATTGAAATATGAAGAGAAAAAAAATAAGCCCGACACGATTTTACTTCATCCCGATAACAACTGCAAGACTTTTCCGAGACAAGTGACATAAATTGAAGAAAACGTAGAAAAAATTGAATGTAGTTTTGTACAAATTAAAGGGTCAATACATTTTGTACATATATACTTTCTACAAGTAGAAAATAAATATGAAGTGTGAAGTCACACTTTTTTTCCCGGGAATTCCATTAATGATTTAAGATGAACTCATCAAACCCACTTGCCAATAACGAACTTCACAACTCTCATCACCAAATATTTTTTATATTATCTCCTTAGGGTAAATTACAAACACCCCCTGAGGTATGGTCAAATTACAAAAAAACCCCTCTTGTTTGGATAATTACATCTACCCCCCTCAACTATGATTTTTTCTTACACCTCCACCCTTATGGTGCCAAATTCAACATAGTTATCTAGATTCTGCGAAATGTGCTCTAGTTTGTACTCGTTTTGTGTAAAAATACAGTTTCTGATGCACCACAAACTGATATATACAAGTTAAAAATCACATATTATGATCATCTTACTTCATAATGTAGAGTTTGAATGGGATAAAACGGGTACAAAAGTGATAATATTCCATATAATCTCGAAGATTCCACTAAATTTGAAGAGTTGAGGGGGTGGTTGTAATTATCCTAACAAGAGGGGTGTTTTTGTAATTTGACCATACCTCAGGGGGTGTTTGTAATTTATCCTATCTCCTTATCACCAAAACTTAAATATTAAAATATATATAACCACTAGGTCAAGTGGATACCAAGATCCTTCCTAATCCCATTCCATTTTTGACTTGTTCCAATAATGTAATCAAGAAAAGTCGGAACAAATTAAGGAAATATAATATTAAATATGTAAAAATCGCTAACAAGGACGACCTCAGTTGGTAGAGCAAAACAATGCATCGACAAATGATTTTAATTTGAGTTCACTTGTGAACATTCTATAGTTCGAGTTTGTCACACTTGTGTCATATGTCTACTGTATTTTAACGTTTTTCGTGTGATTTTGCAAACTATTGAACAAAATGAAGGTACAATCAGTATACTTATATTATTGGTCGTCGCGGGCTCTTTCGTCATAAAAAAATGTAATAATCACTTGATCGACAAATATATTTTATGTTATATAAACGTGTATTAAAGGAAGCAAAAACACTCGGATGTTCGAGTTTTGTCTAACGAATTATTGAAAGTGGAAATTATATCCTATAACTCTTTGACCACAGCCATAAAGACACAAGGACAAGACAAATAATGCAAATTAGTTAAATCTAGTATAATATCATAGCTTGTCCGAATTTTCTTTGAGAATTATGATGAAAATTGAAAAAAAATCGTCTTACTTGAAATTTCATAACGATTATTAAATGTACATCTTATATACTAATAATGTAAGTTAATTAATGTAAATTAGTTTTTTTTGAATAAAATTGAGAGAGAGTCTCCGAGACTCATTTAAACCTTACTAGAGGAAAACCCTATAAACAAAAACAATAAAATAATTAAAGAATAAAAACTAGTACTCCAATTTTTTTTTAAAGTAATTTTGTTTTAATAAATTAAAATCAAGAATTAAATTCAATTTAAATACTAATTATCATATAAGTACTCCATCTATCCCGCATTATTTGTCTTTTTAGAGAGGTTTTTTCGTTTCAATTTATTTGTCATTTTTGAACGTCCAAATGGGCAAAGATTCTATTTTCTTATTTGTCTTGCTTTTAGATGTAGTTGGATGCACATTATGAGCACACGTTCATATTGAATTGAAATTTTCTTATTACATTTAATTATTTAAATTAGCATTAAATTTTAATGAATTAAATTAAGTTTACTTCCTTTGAGTTAAAAGAAATTAAGAATTTCAAATTTGCAATAACATCTCCATTAATATTATTAGGGAAGAATTTCTAGTGTATAAATCAAATATAATCGTTTTGATCCATTATCATTCAATTTGTTGATTATTTTTATGTTGCCTCCAAACAAACAATTTTGCTAGTTTGGGGAAGATGGAATTCTGATTTTCGGGATTTTTTTGGACAACTTCTGTTTTCTTTCAAATGATTTTTGCTTTATTAGAATATTTAATTGGTCTGATTATATAAAATTAGTAAAGTAATTTACACAAAATATTGTTTTATTAGAATATTTAATTGGTCTGATTATATAAAATTAGTAAAGTAATTTACACAAAATACGAAGTGTGTATGTTGCGTTGCGACTATGAATTATTTTTACTAGGTCCGTATTTTGATTTGTGAATTATTAGGTTGTACAAAAAACTTAATGATCTTAATTATTTACGAAATACTTATTACACACCATATTCAATCATTTTGGTCTGAGAAGTACGAACTCTTTCATACCCTAAATAACCCTAACTGGCAAATATATTACATATATTTTCACTTTACCGTTTGAAGTCTTAGAGCATCTCCAACCGATGGTTCCAACCAAACCATCCACATTTCATGAATTTATTAGTTATAGTTTATTATTTATGAATTATTCATCATTTTATATTTTTGTTTTATATCATCTAAAATTTTAACATTTCTTTTATGAATAATAAATGTTATATAATACGTTGTGAATGTGGGATCAATTATATAATTTATAGTGTACAAACACGCAACGAAATAAATCAAAATATAAAGGACTAAAAAAAAAGGTTTTACTATATTTCTCACTTAACCAAAACCTTACAAGACAAAGAGTCTCTTTCTTTTATCTCTATCATTTTTTCTTCTTATTTTTGACACCCTTAACAAACCATCAATAGAATTTTCCTAGTATGTATCGAAAAAATACACACACACATAATTAATATGATTTTTCCTCTGTAGCATTGTACATTAATATCTCCCAGAAAACATTAATTCATATATTCATCCACATTCATAAATTTTAGTTAATTTTAGTATCTTTAATACTCTGAACTTGATTAATGAATCTAGCTTAATTATAAATGTGAATTTCCCGTTAGGGACAAAAGCTGTAGTGGATGATTAATTTAATTTTTATACTACAAAAAGAGTAAACTACAAAAAGTACCCTTGTGTAGTCTCCAATTTGACAAAAACCCCCCTCTATAAATTTAGTCAAAGGCAGAAACCCCTGGTTGACTTTCGTGTGGCTCACTCGCTCGATGTACGGCTGGCAGCTGATTTTTAGACGTGATATGTATATATATTTTTCTTTTAATTTGATTGTATAGAAATTAAAATATGATAAAAAAAAATAGTAAAGCAATTAAATTGAAAAAAAAATATTGAAATTTGGTAATCAAATTAAGTATAGATTATTTTAAATACAGAATAATGGAATTTAAGTTTTCTTTTGATGTAGGGATAAATTAAAATATATAAAGAAATTATCTAATAATAAAAATAAAAATAAATTAAAGGCCCTATTGTACCTTCATAATTAAGTTATAACCAAAATAAAATAGATAAAACATTCATAAAATATAAGAATTTATTAATTGCAAAGTCACGGGGTATTTGTGCCTTTTTATATCAAGAAGCAACACTCAAATGAATAATGGGCCGCGTGTACTATATAAATAATTTCGCACGGGGATTTCTGCTGGATTATTCATCACATGAGGTTTTTGCTATTTGGAGATTACGTACTGTTTTCTCAGTAAAAAACAATATAAAGAAAGTTATTAAAAGAAAGGGGCCGGGGAGAAAAGGAAATAAGGGAAAAAGGAGTGTTAGATCAAGTGGACGGAACAAAAAGGAAAGGTATTCTTTTTTGGGCGACGAGTTGGATAGTCGATTGGCTCGGGAATTCCCTCTCTATAAATAGCCATCCATTCGCGACCTTTTCTCCAAACTCAAATTCCTTATCCTTCTCTAACCGCAATACCAATCCATCCCCCCTTAATTCTCAAACCTCTTTTCTCTACTCAACACAAACTACAAACTCTCTCTCTCTCTCTCTAGAATTTTCTTCCTCTCTCTCTCTAGAATTTCCAGGCATTAGTTCCAATGGAGAGTCAGACAATAAGCGACATCAAATACGAAGAGGAATACATAGTGAATTCACGTGGAGTGAAGCTTTTCACGTGTCGATGGTCACCTCCTGCTGACGTGGACCCTAAAGCTCTGATCTTCCTCTGCCATGGTTATGCCATGGAGTGCAGCATCTCAATGAAAGGTATATATATATTTATATACACTGAAAATTATTTTGTTTAATTTGATATATATATATATATATATATATATATATAGAAATATATATTGATTGAATATTAATTTGAATTACAGGTTGTGCTACTAGATTGGTTAAGGCGGGTTACGAAGTTCATGGAATCGACTGCGAAGGCCACGGAAAATCATCGGGGCTTTTGGGCTTAATCACCGAATTCGATCATCTCGTCGATGATCTCTCCGAACACTTTACTAATATTTCTGGTATGATGATTATGTATATATTTTTTTTAATCCTTATTTTCTTCTTTAATTATTGCTACTATTTTGTTTTTTCGTAGATAAATAAAACCATATACAAATTAATAATAAATAATTTTGGTTGGGTTTTAGTTTTGGTTAATAATATAAAATTGGGTGGTTTGAACGAAGAAATATTCAAAGGTTTTATTTTAACTAATCCCTTGACTAGTGGGGTGGCATGTGATTAGGGGTATCTGTTTTGACTTTTGACTAGGGATTAATGTAATTTAATTTTGATTATTTTAATTTAATTTTGTTAATTATTAATTAATTAATGCAGAAAAGAGAGAAAATAAGAAAAGAATGAGGATTCTAATGGGAGAATCAATGGGAGGGGCGATGGTCCTACGATTGCATAGGAAGAAACCCGATTATTGGGATGGTGCCATCCTCGTTGCACCCATGTGTAAGGTATGTCACTTTTTTTTTTTTACTTTGCCCGTTTCTGCACTTTGTCACCTTAATAAAATAAAAAAAATTATACAGCCAAACTAAAACCAATTATTTTAACTCACTTAACAAAATAGAGAGAATATTCTGATGAATCTTCAAAATTTTCATTGCATGTGAATTGCACATGCCCTAGTGTAATGGTTTTTTCGTCTTTTCAACTCAAAATAATACTAGTAATATGCACCGAGAACGTGGTTTACTTTGTACATATTTAGATTTGCGGCTTTATTTATAAAATAAAAATAATAGAAATATCATTTATGACGTCATAAAGTACAACTTTTTCAACTTGTGATGTAAAAAAATTGTTTGTATAATTACGCAGATTGCTGATGAAATTAAGCCAAATCCATTGGCTATAAAGATCTTGACTTCTTTGGCGCGCGTCGTTCCCACGTGGAAACTTACCCCTACTCCGGACATAGTTGACATTGCCTTCCGGGACCCACAAGTTAGAAAGGAGGTACACACTTCTTTCATTATTTTATTTTATTTTATTTTGCCAACTGCTAGTAATTATATTTTAATCATCGAGATTAGCGCTTTGTAATTGTTACTTAACATTAATATTAATTTAATATGGCCACAGGTTAAATCCAACCCATACACATACAAAGGCCGACCCCGTCTGCAAACTGGCTACCAGTTGTACACAGTCAGCATTGATCTGGAAAAACGCCTCGAAGAGGTGAGTTTATTTATTTATTTATTTTTTTAATTATTTTATTATTTTTAATTAATTACTTCCTGTCATTAATTCAATAATAATTAAATCATACAAAGACCGTGGGGGCGTGGCCCCCCTCTAAGCTCTACTAAATATCAGCCAATCATTTAGGCAACGTGGATCGCATGTTTTTTTTTTTTTTTTTTTTTTTTTCAATTAACGGAATCAAATTAACTTATTTTTACTTCCAACGAACTGAAAGGTGTCCTTGCCATTCATTGTCCTTCACGGAGAAGATGATAAAGTGACCGACCCGTCGGTGAGCAAAACATTGTACGAATCAGCTCGCGCCACGGACAAGACATTCAAGCTGTACCCAGGGATGTGGCACTCTCTCTCCTACGGCGAGTTGCCGGAAAATATCGACATTGTATTCTCCGACATCGACAAGTGGCTCGGCAGCCAGTTCTCCGGCAGAAGCGCCAAGCTCGAAGAGCAACAGAAGTTTGCTAATGATCACAATGTAGTGTCCGAACAAGAATCTAGTAAATAACAAAATTATTTTTAAAATATAATATTATAATATTGTGTGGTTTATTTTAATTAATTTTTTTTTATATTGAGGGTTATACTTATGTAAAATGGGTTTGTTTGGGTCTCGTAGATGCTACGTTCGGTGAAATACATTGGGTAACCATATACTATTGATCTATACAGAATAAGACCATATGTGTGTTTAATAAATAGTTATTTAAATAGATTTATGGTGAAAAATTACCCGATTTTTGCACCTGATGTAGCATCTTATAGACCGTTGGTTCGGGAGTCATATCGCTTGATTTGTTCGGTTCGAAAATACATTAATATTGATTAGTTATCCATCATCGTCTTTCAATTTTTATCCACACTAAAATTAAGAGATATGAGTGATTGATTTGGTCGTTTTCTTTAAAGTTGTGATTGCAATTAATTGACTCATCTCTACTTTATCCACGTTTTTTGATTGTATTGAATATTATCGATCCATGGAATTTGAAATTCCACACGCTTGAGGCCGAGAAAAGAGTAAGGCTTTAATGGAGCTAGGCCTACCATGCCGGGAAATATCTAGTTAAGTATATCAATAGGTAAAATTACATTCTCGTTTAACAGTTTGCAAATTACGTGAGAAACGTAAATTATAATAGGCCAACCATGTGTGACAAACTCGAACTAGTCACCATTGACAAATTATGTGAGAAAAGTAACACTTACTTCAACTGCTAACTCGATCATTCCTTGCGGGATGGATTTTCGATATTCCTATCTCACGTGGAAATGGTGAATTAATGACTTCTCATTTGTATCAACATGTTTTCTTGAAAATTTATTTATGGTCTAATTTCATACGTGTTTATATTAGTAGAAAACATTCACTTACCTCTTTGTTCAAACATTCACAAACTCACCTTATTATTATTTTTCGAATTTCTACTCCATTTTATTTTCGTTCAATTTTGTTTAAAAAATGAAATATTTTTTTCCTTTATCTTAAGCTTATACACATAAATTAATTCTAAAATTCCATCTAATCGGTTAAGTGTAGGCTTTGTGTGTGTGTGTGTGTAATATAGCTTTCTAAATATAAAATAAAATGGAGTAAAAATAAACAAAATAAAAATGAGTATAACTTATACATATGATTTTTTTTTTTTTGTAATTAAAAAGTTCGAGTTCGCAAAATAATAAAAAATAAAAAGATTTTTTTTAGTAAATAAAAAAGGGAGAGACTTGGCTTAAAAGAAGAAGAAGAATAAGAAGAAAGGGTTTTGCTGGTATAAAAACTAATTGAGGGGGAGTAATTGAAGGTTTTAATAGTAAAGGGGCTGAAGTGAAATTAACCCAAAATTTATTTAGTAGTTTTTCAAAATTATAGTGGAAACGTGAAGGCCCAATCTAAAAATTCAAATACCATAGAGGCGTAAGGGTATTTCCGTCAATCTTAAAATTCGTAAACTTTCTTAAAACAACATGAGCCGTTAGATCTGAATTTCTCGCAGCGGCTCCTCAAATTTCAAATTCTCAGTCAGACCTCATCGTCCCGCTCCGATTTCATTTCTCAATCCTCACACACCGCCACACACACTCAGTGTGAGAGAGAAATCTACTAAAATTGTTCAATCAGCAGAAATAATTCACACACACACACACACACACTTGGAAGATGTCGAATCGGCAGGAGAAAGAGAAGGGGGTGAATGTGCAGGTTCTCCTCCGGTGCAGGTAGTCGGCCTTTGCTGTGATTCTAGGGTTTTTGAAATTCTTTATCGATTTCTGCTTCTCCCACAATCTTTGATTTTGTTTTAATTCATGCTGAATTTTGGGGATTTTCAGGCCGTTCAGCGACGATGAGTTGCGTAACAACGCGCCGCAGGTTCTGTCGTGCAACGAGTACCAGAGAGAGGTCGCCGTTTCTCAGAGCATCGCCGGAAAGCATATCGATAGAGTCTTTACTTTCGACAAGGTACTGTATATGGGTTTATTTGTTTATTCGGCTATTTGAATATTTTCAAATTAGAATTTTTATTATTAGCATATGAGGATTGGTCGACTGAACTTATAGAAGAGTTGAATGTATGCTAGTGCTTCCACTAGTTCTTTTGAGACTGTTATTTTTACTACTGGAAAATTGAGCAGTTGAAGAGTATTCGTAGTTACTCGATGTTAGACCCCTGTTAGAGTGCGTGAATTAACACACTGATTTTGATCGCTGTTGATTTTTGTAATAAACTGCATAAATATTGAGATTTTATATGCGTTGTACTGTACTTTTAAGAATTATATTGGTTTTCAGAAGATTACAATCTGTCTTTTTTGTTTATATCTAGGTGTTTGGACCTAATGCCCAACAAAAGGATCTATATGAACAAGCAGTTGTACCAATAGTCAATGAGGTTTTGGAAGGTTTTAACTGTACGATTTTTGCTTATGGGCAAACGGGCACAGGAAAAACGTATACCATGGAGGGTGAAAGTAAGAGGTCAAAGGTACTATAGATTCATATGATTCCACTCACGGTCTTTGATTTTTGGTCTGCGTTTGATTTTTGGTTTCGTTATCTTGAAGGCCTGCCATAATGGAGATTTGCCACCAGAAGCGGGAGTCATACCAAGATCAGTAAAGCAAATATTTGACACATTAGAGAGTCAAAATGCAGAATACAGTGTAAAAGTGACTTTCTTGGAGCTATATAATGAAGAAATCACCGACTTGCTAGGCCCAGAAGATTTGTCTAGAGTTGTTTCTGAGGACAAGCAGAAAAAGCAATTGCCCCTCATGGAAGATGGAAAGGGTGGTGTTCTTGTCAGAGGACTCGAAGAGGAAATTGTGACAAGTGCTAGTGAGATTTTCACTCTACTTGAGAGGGGATCTGCTAAACGTCGAACTGCAGAAACCTTACTTAACAAACAATCAAGGTTCTTTACGTTTCTTCTTGACATGTATTACATGTTTCTTTTACTCTTCTTGAAACTAAATTTTAATCCGATTTGTTTTTTGAATCAGTCGATCACATTCTCTCTTTACCATAACAATTCATATAAAGGAAGCAACACCTGAAGGTGAAGAACTAATAAAATGTGGCAAGCTAAATTTAGTTGACTTGGCTGGTTCGGAGAACATCTCCCGGTCTGGTGCAAGGGAGGTGAATCCTTGATCCTGTGCTCTAGTTATCATTTTTACAAATTTGGCCTGTTTATAAAAAAATAATTCTTTTGAGGCTTCGTTAAATCTGTACAATGAATGCTGTTCGTGTTTGTTGTCTACCAGCATCGTCCTCCATTATTATTCTCCTAATTGATTTGTTCTCTTTTTTTCCAGGGGAGGGCAAGAGAGGCGGGAGAAATAAATAAAAGTCTGCTAACATTAGGGCGAGTAATTAATGCTCTTGTAGAGCATCTTGGACATATTCCCTACAGGTAAATCTCTTGTATGGTGTGAGTGTTTGACTTATTTTGTATACATTTCTTTATTAATTAATTGAAGCTTGACCGCGTGAGCTAATTCATTTTATAGGGATAGCAAGCTCACTCGTTTGCTTCGTGATTCATTGGGGGGAAGAACAAAAACTTGTATTATAGCTACAGTATCACCAGCTGTGCACTGTCTTGAGGAGACCCTTAGCACTTTAGATTATGCTCACAGGGCTAAGCATATAAAGAATAAACCCGAGGTTTGTTACTTATTTGTTGTAGTCGCATACTAAGTTTGCCTTTTTTCATCATTTTTACCGGGGTTCAAGACACCAGGAGGGGAATTAGAAACCAGTAACTATCCTCCTTTTAAAAAAAGAGTAAAACATTTAACCCTTAGGGTGCATTTGGATGGAAGGATTTGGGGAAGGGATTTCAAATCCATAATAACAAATCCCTTGGACTTGTTTGGGTTGAGGGATTTGGGGATGGATTTCAAATCCACACCCCTCCTTTTTAGTCATGTTTTGAGCAATTGAGGTGGATTTCAAATGACTCCAAAATTGGAGTCATTTCAAATCCCTTCCCCAAATCAAATCCCTCCCCAAATCCTTCCATCTAAACGCACTCTTAGAGTTTCTTCCATTTCATTTTTTTTATCTCTGCCTAAATTGCATTTACTCTTTTGAGGAAATAATTCAGTTTGAGAAAATATCTTGTTGTAAAAATAATATATCTTGCAATGAAGCTCAATCTTTTATTTGATACATGTACACATTGCAATATTGTTTGACATCAGCATCACTTTAAGCTCATTTTGTGAGATGTAGTGCATGAGAGGGTAATCTGTAGCATTTATATTGGTTGAAGGTGCTTACAATGATAATTTTGCTTCCTTCATATAGTATATCCTCAAGATCTTTTACTTTAACATCCAGGTGAATCAGAAAATGATGAAATCAACGCTGATTAAAGATCTCTACGGGGAAATTGATAAACTTAAAGCAGGTAAGAACTTTTGTCTTATGAATTAGTGATTACTGATGTCGCTATTTTATTCTATGTCACTTTCTCATTTACTCTCTCTCTCCCTCTGATTAGAGGTTTATGCTACACGGGAAAAGAATGGTGTTTACATCCCCAAGGAGCGATACTACCAGGAGGAGAGTGATAGGAAGGTGCTACCTCTTGAATGCTGCATTCCTTTAAATTTTATCTCCTTCTTTAAAATCATGACAATCCTTCAGAGTTTATTTCTTGGCGAGGCTAATAGCTATACTTTAGTTGAAAAAAATAATATAAGGTTCTGCAGATGAAGTGCTCTATTGGCTGTGTTATTTATAGTAATGGACTTTAATTTTCTGTTCTTTTATCATTACTGACTTTTATTTACGATTTTAGGCAATGGCTGATCAAATAGAACAAATGGGAGTGACAATAGAAAACCACCAAAAGGTCAGTTTACTTGATATTCTTTATACCAAATATTAGCATTTGATTTGACTATTCCTGAAGGCCGAATTGCTTGGCTGTTGATATGCAGCGAATGGAGGAATTGCAAGCTAAATATGAAGGCCAGGTTGAACAATATACTCAATTGAACAGCAAACTCAATGCAACCCAAGTAAGTTATCTTAATTGAGTCAACTAATGTTTTGAAATCGTCTGTCAGCTAATGTCTAGTTGTTCGCAGAAAGACTTGAACCAAACAAGCAAACTGCTGGCAGACACTGAGAACGAACTAAAAAGATGCCAATATTTCCTCAAGGAGCGGGATTTTATAATATCTGAGCAAAAAAAATCTGGTATTTTATAACTTCACTAGCAGTTTGAATTTTTATCCTGTGGTGTCTAAAAAATGTTTCTGAATATATGATCAGAAAATGCACTGGCTCATCAAGCATGTGTATTGCGTGCGGATTTGGAGAAATGCCAGAAAGACAATGCCTCACTATTTCTGAAAATTGGTACATCTTTATGTTGCCTTGTGTGTTTTATTATGGTTGGGTAAATGCCAGTACTTTTAATTGTTATTAATTTGCAGCTAGGGAGGACAAACTGAATGCTGGTAATAGGTCAACCGTGAACAGTTATCAAGCTGATCTCACCCAGCAGCTTGATACCCTCTGCAAGTTGCTGGCTGGATCTACGTCTCAACAAAGTGAACATCTCCAATGTGTTGAAAATCTCTGTATTTCTTTTCTTGAAGTACATGATATGGTAATTTTTCTACCATTCAGCTGGTTATAATATCTTTTCCTCCCGAATTTTGTTCACCTTTGTATAATATGTCTTTCTTTGCAGCAGATTGGACTTGTGAGTTATACAATTCATTTGTTATTGACAAATTTTGTTTGTAGGCTGCTGTAGAACTAAAGAAGAAAGTAAGCACATCAAAGGCTCTGTGTATCTCTCATTTTGAGGCTGTTCAAAATGTTATTAGGCTGCACAAAGCCGGTAATAATGCTGCTTTGGATGAACTGTCAGCTTTGGCCTCTTCTAACTCACAGTCTATTGAAAAAGTAAGACTACTTATAAGATTCTTCTGTGGTCTTTGTAGCTTTGTCTGGTACAATCTCACCCTTATTTTTTAAACCTCCGATAGTTATTAGCTGAAGAGTCTATTGAAGTGAATTCAGTTTTTGACGATCTTCAACAAACTCTATCAAGTCATCAGGGGGAAATGGCACATTTAGTGAGGGAGCTTCGACAGGTTTGCATATTCAGATTATTACTTTTCTGAGCCCCCCTATAAAAGATTGTTGTATTACCACGTAGGGCATTATGGTCTATTTGCCCCTTTTATCTGCTATATTAACTTGAGATTTTTCCAGAGATTTAATGCTAGCATAGAGCACTTGACGAATACCTCAGAATCCCTTCATGGATTCCTTGAGAAGCTATCGAAAGAATCAGAAAGGCTTGGAAGTCATGCAGCTCAAGTTGATAAAGTTCAGACAAAGTGCATTACTGAATTTCGTAAAGCTTATGAGGTTGGCTGAATAGAAGTTAGTTGTCAATATTCAATACTGAAAGTGTGCCTCTGTATCTTGTATCTTATATTAGTTTTGATTTCTGCAGGAAAAGTCCAAATCAGACGCAAAGAAGCTTATTGCTGATATGACAAGTCTAGTTTCTGATTGTATGCGCCGTCAGAAAGAGATGGTTGGCATTTTTGTTGTCACCATTTGTTTTTATTTTGGTATTTTCAGTTTCTTTAGGTAACTAACCTAGACAGCTGGCAGGTCGATGCAAGGCTTGGTGATCTTAATGATAGCGTAGTTGGAAACAAGATGTTTTTGGATGGACATGCCTCAACAGTGGACGGCATTACTTCAGATCTAAAAAGAAAATGGCAGGAGTGCTTTACACAAGCAGAAAGTAACTTTAATGATAATGCTGACTTCTCTGCAGCTAAACATTGTCGCATGGAGTTGCTTCTGCAGAAATGGTAAGACTTATGCCAATGCATTTTATCCCTGCCTCATCTCTTTATACATAATTTATTTCGGTAGTTCTCCTTATCTTCTCTCTCTGTTTTTTTTATTGTATGTTTTTTCTGGCTGGATTTGATTTGTTGCCTTTCTTTGCGACTAATCTTTTTCACTATTATTTCTCAGTGTAAACACTGCTGACACAGCTTTGAACAAGTGGCAAACAACTCAAAAGTCATTGACTAGCATGGGAAGTCAGCATGCCTCAACAATTACTTCACATGTCAGGTATCAAAACACAGGAAACTTTCTCTAGTTGCACATGTTCTTTCTCTTACATTATGCCTGGCTGGAGAGTTTACAAACAGACAAGTCATTATATACATGCATAACTAGTATTTGAAGCTCTGTCAAGTAAAAACATGTGCAGCATGATTGTTATCTCTCGAGTGGTTCTGTTTCAGGAGCATGAATGAGAGTAATGAGCAACATGATGTTGAGGTTGAATCTGCGAGAGTTACAGTTGAGGACGATGCTCAACAGAGCGGTGAAGACATCATTCGTTGCTTTGATGGTTAGTTTCTCAAGACTTTTTTGTTTCTTTTCTTTTTAATCGTTCAGAGTTTTATTGCAGTTCATTTTCACAGTTTTTTTGCTTTTCTTACTGATATTGATTGCCAGCATATTAGAATTTTTTTAAAATTGGTGCAAACACTGCTTTCAGCATCGACTTGGTTTATAATAGCCATATCTCTTGGTTTCATATTTGCTGACCAGCTGGCCAATAATTATTAAGCGCTTTATATTTGGGGTGGATCTGTAATAATTATTAAACGCTTCATATTTTCTTTTAACTCTCATTTAAACTATGCGCCAACTGAAATAGGACAGAAATTATTAAACTTGAAAAGCTGCACACTTTTTATTGGCTGGTTTGGTGGTTGTTGAATCCGTGGGCTTCATCAGTGGTCACAATGAATAGTCACGTATGTACAATCATAAAGCGAATAAGTTTGACATGCAGTTTAATGTCCAGTACCTGGACTGCTTATTCAGTTATTTTGCAAATACTTGTAAAAATGTATTTTCTTAAGAAACACGAATTATCTGAATATGTTTATATAGCAGAAGTGAACCTGCAATTTTGATTAATTTGTAACTATATTAAGTGGCAGAGATTGATTTGTAAATTTCACATCGATAGTCTAATGACTAATTAGTTTAATGTTGGTTGCTGTTTGGTCCACTTAACCATTTAGTTATTTTGGTACTTATTGCAGTGTTTATTTTGGTCAGACCGATTTTCTAATTTGACTTTGCATTTATTTAAAATTCAGGTTTGTCAGAGCAAGAAAAACTATCCGTTTCTCAAATTCTGACGACTGCTAGAGCTCATTCAGAAATAATTGAGAACCTTAACAGAGATCATTCAGAGCAAGCATCCTGTATTGAAAAGCACGCGGTTGATACTTTTACGCACAAATACACGGTATGTCTGTCTATATTTTTAATGTACGATGTAGATTTGTAATGGTGAAATATAACCGCCTAACTATTTTGAATATCAACTCTTAGGATTACGAACCAACGGGGTCCACACCTACAAGGTGCGAACCAGATATTCCGAGCAAGGGAACTATTGAGTCACTTTGCTCCATGCCTATGGAGGCTCTTCAAGAAGAATTCCGAGAAAACCATTCATACGAATCGTTTCAAGGGAAGGAACAAAAGTCATTGCTAAATCCTCGTGAGCCACTTTCACAGATCAACTAGCATATATATATCTTTTCTTTTGCATGATGTTTAAATATTTTGTATTTGTACTTATCATGTATGTATTACCTTACACACACCCGGAAGAAATTGTTCTAGAGTCATTTTTAGGTGCAGAACAAGTAGGGCTCATCTATATGAAGAAATCCCTTCTCGGGATAAGAGCTTCTCATTGGTTCCGAGTTGTTTTATTAAAAAAAAATGTAATGAACGCGCTTTATCGATTGTAAAACATTGCCAATTTTAATTGATTTGTTGGATCGGACGAGTCTATTACTGGCTAAGGTTTCTATGTAAAAGTTAATGTTGTCTGAAAGCAAGATATGTTGCATATGGTCTTAAAGATAAAACCATCTTAGAATTCATTAATAACAACTGCAAGAAAATGTACATGTTATTTTTTTTTTACAGATTTGTACAAGGGTTCTTCTAACTTAAAAGCGATGGATCTTCATTGGCTTTCGGCATCTCAGTGGTTCATTTCCCGGGGCCTGTTCATGGTCCAGGCATTCAAACTGTCGATTTTGACAGCCTCGGTGCCGTTATTGAAAGCGTACAAGTGTGCGTTTCCGAATAGTGCTAGTGCTGGATAAACCCTCGATGTAATGCAAGTCTTTCCTCCTGCTCCAAAGCTCTCGACTACAGAGTTGTCAATCTGCAAGAAAAAAATGAAATAGCCTCGGTTTAGAGTAAGATCAAAGGATTAGAATTAATCAGAGTATATGAAATGTGAATTTACCAAACTCCTGAGAGAAAGCTTCTTCTCGGTTAGGTCTACATTCACAAATCCTGCGAACGAGGGTCTGTATGCATCCTTCCCATCCTTCATCTTCGTCTTATCATCCTTTATACTCGACCTGTAACCAAAGATTAAATAAGTAGGAAGAAATTACGGTAGATATATACATATATACAAATATATGTAGGTACTTATGTATGTACCTTGATGCATCAGAGCACATAAGAACAAGATGCTTATCTTGATCCTTGAAAACTCTGAAGAAGACGGGAGTATATTCCTCAAGATTCTGTGAAGCCAATGTCAATAGTCCAAACGGTCCTAATCCGCCTTCGACAGTCGAACCCTTTTGGCTGCAAATTTTTTGTGCATCGTATCTATCCCAGCTCGGATCGAACGGCTCGGCTTTATCCAAGCTTTCGAACGAGAATGTAACATCCACATCCGCCTGTGCAGCTGTTATTCCTTTTATTTCGACATTTTCGCCCTTGTTGAGAATCTTATTGCTCAATTCCACCTTGTTCCCTCTTAGGGTTTCTAATTCCTCAACAGGCCATTGCAGCAATTGTTTGCCGTTCGGATCAAGAACAATTGTACGTGGAATAAGCTAATCAAAAAAAAAAAAACCCATAAGAACAAATGAATTTATTTTACAATGTAATGTCGAAAAATAGGACGACGAAAATAAATAAATACCTGAACACCAGCCCAACCCTTCTTGATATCATTATCAGTAGAATCAGATTCATTAGCCCAACCCCAAAGAATCCTTCTGTTCTTGCTCGGGTCGAAGAAAGATTTCGACGCGTAGAAGTTTCCGTAATCGTACCTCAGTCCATTCCATCCATCAATCATGTCTGGATCAGGGATATATCTGTCTTTTCCAACGTCGTACGAACCCAAAGTGTAGTACTCGAACCTCGTGGCATCAAGACTCACCTTCATCACGTGCTTCACATTGGGCCCCACAACAGAGGTGTCCAATCCATTAGTAGCCGAAACGGGGAAGAAATCCGGGCACTCCCAGTTGCCGGTTCCTGCAGTAGCGTGCAGTGGGTGCTTGGCCTTAACCCAATGCATGAAATCTCTACTTTTGTATAAGTACGAAATTCCTCTGTTGTTCTTTTTGCCGCCAATGGAGATTCTCCAGTGGCCGTCTTTGCCGAGCCATGCGGTTGTCGGGTCACGGAAATATGTGCCGTTGATGGCTTTATCCGCGACGATCAAGGGATTGTTATCGGGCTTAATCCATTCGCGGAGATACGGGTCGGATAGATTAGCCGGGACTGCATAGTTTTGGACTTGTGTGTTTTTGTCGTCGACGATTCCGGTGTAGAGGATAACGGGTTTGTTTCCGGGTAGGACTGTTGCCGACCCGGACCAACACCCGTATTTGTCGAATGGCTTCGATGGGAAAATTGCGTGCTCTACTTTTTTCCAGTTGATCAAGTCTTTGGACACTGAGTGGGCCCACACTATGTTGCCCCAAACAGCACCTTTGGGATTGTACTGATAGAAGAGGTGATAGACTCCATTGTAATACATTGGTCCTGTGAAAATAATTAAAATTTATTTTTTAGGAAATAAAATTTAAGAATATTTTATTTATTTTCAAGAAAGAAGAAAAATATTAATTAATTACCATTTGGATCTGATGTTGATTCATAGTATCATGATCATCCACGCGGAGGGGGACACATGAAAAAGAAAAAGAGAAATAAACACGTCATGCATGCATGTCAAAGTACGTAAACGGGAAAAATAGCAAACCCTAAAGAAAAATTCCAAACCATGCAAATACATATACATTATTATGGAAAGTGAGGTATGTATGTATACCGTTAATCCAATGTTTGGTGGGTTGGAAATGGTATCCAGATCGGTGTTCTTTCTTGACGTTAACGGCAGACAAAGACAGCACATCTTCCGAGAAAACATCATGGGAAGCATCTACGACGAGGACGAAGTTATTCGTGTTGAAAAGAAAAGCTAAGCAAGATATATACAGAACTGGCAAAACCCAATGCACTCTCTTTGTGAACTCCATTGGGCTTTGACAGTGTGATTATTCTATTTTATTTATTTATTTATTTATTTATTTATTTAATAGCTAGAAAAAGAAAGAACAAAGTGGGATGAAATTGGAGGAAGAGAGTTGGAATGTATTTATAGGTAAGGAAGAAAACATATGTGGTGCGAGATTGTAGATGTTTTAGTGGATGAAATTAATAGTTTTGTTTTTATTTTATTGATTTAATTAATAATACTATAATAGTGAATGGATAAGAAATAAAATCGGGGAACCGTTTGTTTGGCAATTCAGACCATTTCTCTCCTGGGATTTTGTGGTTTCTCACGGATGGGGTTGAATTTTGAGTCAAAATTATAATTAATACTATCATAATTAATTTTCATTGTTTCCTTTATTATACATATATATATATATATTGGTGGTGCAAAATTTGCACTCCAAGACCCATTTTCGAACTCTACTTCCTTGACCTTAATTCGAAAACGCTCTCCTATCGTTGGACTATATATGGTTGTAGGATACGAACAAGAGAGCGGGAAAAGTAGTAAAAAGAGACGAGGTTCGAGATAAAGTATCAAATTGTATTATTGATTGTGTATGAACGTAACCCTATCAGGATTCTTACATTTGTTTCTATGATCGATGAGTTTCTAAATAGACATTTTCTATTTTAGAACCATTCTTATTCAAAATCTAAACCCTAATTGCAAATATCTGATAAAATATCTATCTATAGAGTCCATATATCTCTCAATCATTCATCTGCAATGGCTTACTCATGCTCCAAGCATTCAAACTATCAATCTTCACTCTCTGAGTGCCATTGTTGAATGCATACAAATGTGCGTTTTCTTGTACTGCCAGAGTCGGATAAACCCTAGACGTAATGCACGTCTTTCCTCCCGCTCCAAAGCTCTCCACTACCGAATTATCGATCTACAACGTAACATATATATACATCCATCGATTAATTAGTCTTATATATAAAACCTTCATTGGATATAAGATATAAATAAAAGTATATGAAATATGAAATAATATACCAAACTCCTGAGAGAAAGCTTGTTTTCTTTCAAGTCCACATTTACGAATCCTGCAAACGAGGGTCTGTACGCATCCTTCCCATCTTTTATATGCGACTTACCATCCATTAAGGTTGACCTGCAGTCAACAAAGATTACCTTGATATATGTATATTGTACTATAAAATTATGCAAGAAAATAAATATATATGTAGATATTAACCTTGATGCATCGGAGCACATAAGCACTATATGCTTGTCTTGATTTCTGAATATTCTGAAGAAGACGGGAGTATATTCCTCAAGATTCTGTGAAGCCAATGTCAATAGTCCAAACGGTCCTAATCCGCCTTCAACGGTCGAACCCTTTTGGCCGCAAAGCTTTTGTGCATCATATCTATCCCAGCTTGGATCGAACGGCTCGGCTTTATCCAAGCTTTCGAACGAGAAGGTTACATCCACGTCAGCCTGTGCAGCTGTTATTCCTTTTATTTCGACACTTTCGCCCTTGTTGAGAATCTTATTGCTCAATTCCACCTTGTTCCCTCTTAGGGTTTCCACTTCTTCAATAGGCCATTGCAGCAATTGCTTTCCGTTCGGATCAAGAACAATCGTTCGTGGAATTAGCTGGCAAAAAAAAAATTATATTGAAATGGGAAAATTGTGATTTTAATTTTTCTGGCATCTAAACACAATATCTATGCAAACTTGGCATCTTTTGACCTACTTCACGCGAACTTTGAATTTTACCCGTTGTTTAATGACATAGCTAAACAAACTCGTCGGAATTTAATTATATGGATTCTTAAAAATTATAAATGCTCCTTTAAGCATCTATATTAAGTAATTAATTAAAATCCATCAGGTTTATTTGCCGCGTCATAAAATGAAAAAAGTTATGCAAAATAGGACCCAAAAAAAATGCAAAACAGGACCCAAAAAAAATGCAAAACATGACAAATTAGAGGACTAGATCTCTAAATAAGCAAAAATAGAGGACCAAAATTAGAAAATAAAAATACCTGAACACCAGCCCAACCCTTGCTGACGTCATTATCAGTAGTATCAGATTCATTAGCCCAACCCCAAAGAATCCTTCTATTCTTAATCGGGTCGAAGAAAGATTTCGACGCGTAGAAGTTTCCGTAATCGTACCTCAGCCCGTTCGACCCATCGACCATGTCCGGATCAGGGGCATATCTGTCTTTTCCAACATCGTACGTACCCAAAGTGTAGTACTCGAACCTCGTGACATCCAAACTCACTTTCATCACGTGCTTCACGTTGGGCCCCACAACAGAAGTATCTAATCCACTTGTACCCGAAACCGAAACCGGATAGAAATCCGGGCATTCCCAATTCCCGGTACCGTTCGATGCATGCAGCGGGCGTTCGGCTTTCTCCCACTTCAAAAAATCCTTGCTTCTGTACAAATACGAAACGCCGGTACTCAACTCATTAATATTATTATTAGATTCACTCTGCCCTCCAATGGAGATTCTCCAGCTGCCGTCGCCGCCAAGCCATGCAGTCGTCGGGTCGCGGAAGAAGGTGCTGTTGATGGATTTATCCGCGACGATCAAGGGATTGTTATCCGGCTTAATCCATACGCGGAGATACGGGTCGGATAGATTAGCCGGGATAGCGTAGTTTTGGACTTGGGTTTTTTTGTCGTCGACGATTCCGGTGTAGAGGATAACGGGTTTGTTTCCGGGTAGGAGTGTTGCCGACCCGGACCAGCACCCGTATTTGTCGAAGGGCTTCGATGGGTAAATTGCGGGCTCTAATGGTGTCCAGTTTATTAGGTCTTTCGACACTGAGTGGGCCCACACTATGTTTCCCCAGACAACTCCTTTGGGATTGTACTGATAGAAGAGGTGATAGACTCCATTGTAGTACATTGGTGCTGTTCGAAATTAAAAGAGGACTAATTAATTTTTGAGGAAACTTAGACATGGAAAATTAGGGTTTATTTTAAAAATAAAAATCTGTGAATTATTATTATTAGCAAACTTTCTTTTATGATTCAAATTGTTTTAGGCCTCTTTTGCTAATTAAGATTGAATTAATATGCCCTACCAACTAATTATTTTGTCAGTGAGATGTTTGATTAATTAGATTCAATTCTTGTATTAAATTTTGGTATTAAATAAGAAATGTCTACAAAGATTTTTAATTAACAAAATTAAGAATATAATTAATATATTTTTTTAAGGATAAAATTGTCTTTATTTAATCACCCGACAAAATTAATCACATAAGGGAAAGGTGATACTAATTTAACTAAATAGTAGCATTCAATTGCAGGCTTAAAGTGTAGAACTTTTTAATAAGGCGTGAACTATTGCCTAAAGAGGGGGGTATTTGCTAATATTAAAAATATCTGGAGTTTTTTAACAATTCGATGTAACAAAAGGTACCAAATGCAATAAAATTTTGAAAAAAATAGTTATAAAAATACTAAAAATGGCAACGTTAAAAAAAAAAAAAAAAAGAAGAAGAGAAGGGAGAAACTTACCATTTGGATCTGATGTTGGTTCGTTCATCACCCACGCAGCATTATGGAAAGAGGAAAATAACAAGTGTCACTAAATATATTAATTCAAGCAACTCAAAAAAATTATGTACTAATACATATAATAAGTTATGCCATATATACTTATTATTGAAAATGTTTTTTTTAAATGAAGAAAATTAAATAGGAATTACCATTAATCCAATTTTTTTTGGGTTGAAAGTGATATCCAGTTCTGTTTGCTTGAGTCACTGTAACATTAGGAGGCAAAGATTGGAATTGTGTGAATACTTTATGCGATGCTTCGACGCCGTTTTTGTCGAAGAATGCTAAACAACAACATACATACAAAATTGGCAAACCCCAACGGATACTATTCGAGAGCTCCATTCGAGTTTTAGGAGAATTATATTATTAGTAAAACAACTTAATATTCAATAAATGAAATTAAATAGGAAAAAATGTTGGTAGTGAGATGAAAATTAGAGAGGGAGTTGGGATGTATTTATAGTCAAATTAAGGAAAATCTAATTGTGTTTGAGAATTCCTGGATTATATTGTTGATTGCAAATTCAGTTTTGTTTGCCAGATTTAAATTATAAATATATATATATGGTAATTATAAGAAGATTTAAATGTTCCTTTTATATGGAAGCTTTGGTTTCCTTTTATTTTTTCCTTTCTTTTTTTGATGTGCTGACATGCACAAAATCTGATGTGCCTACCAAAAAATTTAAAGAGTTCTTAGAATTTATTACTCATGTGTATATCGAATTACTAGAGATTTTCTCATGTTAATTTATTGGCAAAAAAATCATTTATAATGCATTTAGGGGTGAATTGCAGTTTGCTCCCCAAAATTATGTGGATTGGTGTTTTGCACCCTTAAATTTTGGTATTGGCAAAATGCACCCTTAATTGCATATCAATGACAAAATGCACCCTACAATTGTTTTTTTTTTTTTTTTTTTTTTTATAACTAAAAGATAAATATATCATGATATTTTTGATTTTTAATACAAGATTATCCTCTCTCTCTCTCTTTTTTCTTTTCCTTTTTTCCTTTTTAGTGTACCTACAAAATTCATTGCAAGGGGATATGACTACTAATTAATTAATTAGTAAGGAATTTAGTTCATCGGATTATATATTATATTAAAAATTGTTAGAATTTGGCCTTAAATATCAACTTGTCAATTACATTCCAATTCAACAATAATTTTATATATCCCTTTTTATAGTATTTTAGGCATAGAACAATCATTATTATTGTCTCTAGTACGTGCAACCTACAATATTATTTGGAGTAGGGCAAAACGAATTTTATTGATTAACATTGTTTAATTTTTTGTTTTAGTTTTTGTTGTGGACATTAGTTTATGAATCTTCTCCAATTACACACACACACACACACAACTAACACCTCAAAATTTAGTCATTATAGTTACAACCGAACAAAATTTGTAACATCCCGTTTTGCTAAACTTATTTAAAACCTCTTATAAGTTCCTACATCTGATAAGTTATTTTAGAAGCTGATAAGTTCTTAGATCTTATTTTAAAGATTAATTTTTTAGTGTTTGGATATGAAACTTATAGGTTAGTTGAGTAAAATATTATGCTTTTAATGTTTTAGCAACTAAGTAAATAAGATCTTATATAAAAGAGGTGAAGTGAAGGTATTTTTTTAAAAAAACATCGTATAAGCTCCTTAGCACTTTTTTTTTTTAAAATAAGATCTTTTGGAAAAAAAATTACCAGACACATTTTAATAGCTTATAAGTTATTTAAGATCTTATAAGCTTAGTCAAACAGACTCTTAATTATAAAGAACACTGAAATATACTTATGGAGTTATGGGTTCCAAACTTGCAGTTTTAATTACAACCGAACCGAAAGTTCCTAGTCGTCCCACCATTTAGTTAAATTTAATAATTAATCAACAAAACAAATTAAGATTCATTCTACAAATGTGCATAATATTTGACAATAAACATGTTGATACATCAATAAATGAAAATACTAAAATGAAAAACAAATTGGCACACAAAAAAGCTAGCCTAGAAATATTGGTGTGCAAAACTTAAAAGATATGGTTTGCTGCAGAAACAGAAATAGTGCAGAAAAAGTGTCGAAAGACAAAACATCATGTTGATTTTTCCACTAAGCCTCTAAGTGGGTGAGATGAGTTATTCATGCCTCCACTTATTATTTTTCACTCCATTAAAGTTTCCTAGCAAACATACGCTACATACAATTACATATATAGGAAAATATTTGAAGGGGGGGAAAAGTTGAAAATGCCAATTTTGAGGTTTCATAATAATAAAATGGGTAGATTACAACCGCCCCCGAGCTAAAGTTTATTTATGAAAAAAACACTCATTTTTTTATAATTACATTCACCCCTGTGTTTTGTAGATTTCTTATATTAACACCCTTTTATAGGGGTGTGGATGCAAGAAACTTACAAAGTGCTGAGGTTGGATGTAGTTTCTAAAAAAATAAGGGATTTTTTCGTAAATAAGATTTGACTCAGGGAGGTGGTTGTGATTTACCCATAATATAATATATGGCTCTCAAGCGCACCTAGCTAGTGCAAAATTGTAATTAGTAATTACAACCTAATTTGTTGAATTAGTAACTAGTATGATTAGGGGTGGAAATTGGAACAGAATTTTCGATTTCCGCCCATTCTGATCTATTTGTTTTTTTAGATTAATATTTTTCAATCAGAATCCCGAAATTACGACTTCCTATTTTTTCGAAATTATTTGGATCGGTGGTATATTATACGAGATTCCGATTTTCGATGCGATTTAAGTGTTGAAAATAATTCCAATTTTTTTTTTTCCGAATATTACACTTAAATACCAATATTATTATGTATTTTATATTTTAGGTGACCAAAAATTGAAAAAAATCAAATTTTGCCGATTCCGATCCGAAACTTTCCATTTGGAACATATTTTTTTGTTCCAATTTCCGATATTCCGATTTTCATTTTCTAGAACGAAATTGAAACTAGTCTTTCACTTCTGAAAAAAAAAATGATATTTCTTCCAAAATGGCTAATTCTGATTTGATCCGTTCAGTTTACACCCCAAATTATGATGAAGGAATAATAGTTATTTTGATGCATATATACGATTGAGAATATGTTGATGCAACTTCGTATTTTTTGCAATAGCTAAGTAATATACATGCAGCTAAGTATTTTCTTGGTTTTTGTTTTTGTAATCATGCTTATCATATGTTACGTTGCTATAGATTAAGGTAGGCAATTGGGTCATGTGAGTCAAGCTTGGATCGGCTCAAGCTCACATACCATCGGGTCTCGTTATTATAGGCTCAAGCTCACATATCATCGGACCTCGTTAGTATAGGCTCAAGCTCACATATCATCGGACCTCGTTAATTAGTATAGGCTCAAGCTCACATATCATCGGACCTCGTTAGTATAGGCTCAAGCTCGGTTCATGTATTTTTTCGTGTTTCGGGTTTAAATCGGGCCCAATTACTATGTAACTGTAATGAGTAAGAAAAATTATAAAAACAAGTGATAAACAAAATTTATATTCCATTGAAGTCAATCCAAAAAAACCCGAAACAATCTTTGCAAGTTATTGAAAAAACTTAAAAACAAGACTGAAAGAAGTAAAAAAAAATAGTAACTATTATTATTGGAAACATTTTATATTCTCAAATCTCGGTGATAAATTTCAGTAATTGAATTTCGGTTGGTATTTTGAATTTAATTCCTATTTTACTTACTGCCACCGGCGCCGCCACCACTTAATGAGTAAAAAAAAATTATAAAAACAAGTGATAAACAAGATTTATATCTATTGAAGCCAATCCAAAAAAACCCTAAACGATTTTTGCAAGTTATTGGAAAAAATTAAAGACAAGACTGAAAGAAGTACAAAAAAAATGAGTAACTCCTATTATTGGAAACGTTTTATATTCTCAAATCTCGGTAATAAATTTCAGCAATTAAATTTCGGTGGGTATTTTGCGTTTGATTCCTATTTTACATATTGCCACCGTTACCACTTAATTCCTTTTATTTTACAAAATAAAATAATACTATAGGGTCGTAACTGTATGTTGAGTCATAGCATTAAAATATAAATATATTATATATTTTATTATTAACCTAATAAGTCAGGCATTATTTGGGTTGAGCCATAGTAAGCTCAAATCCAGCTCATAAATAAATCGGGTTTAGTAAATGGCTCAAACTCGGTCCGACTCACTAAAACATAGGCTCGACTTAAATATAATCGGGTCGAGCCATCGGACTTCAGTTAGGCCCGACTTAATTTTCCGGTCCTACTATAGACTATAGTCGTGCTATTATTTCCCCTTCACTCTATTACAAGAAAATACAAGAAATGCTTTCCATGTCATAAAACATGGAAGAAGAATTACAATTATACCTTTAAGAAATTTAAGATTAATATTTAAAACATATATACTGCATTTGAATATATATCCTACCTTCCATTTTCTCATTTTAATCATGAATCATTTAAAGTAAGTTGACTTTCTGAATTAGGTATATATGAGCATCACCCAAATTCAATTAGCAGGATACAACAAAAATTATATACCTAGATAATTAATTTCTCTTTTATTAAAAGTTCATGATTAAGTGCATGAGTTCTTTCAATAGTACATTACATTAAACTACCACACTATTAAAAAAAAAACACTAAAACAAAACTAATTAATGGTCAATGAGAAGTTACATTTGGCGAAAAGTATCGGACGATTTTGCACTATAGATTTATACAAATAATTATCCAACATATATATTCACATAAATATGTGTATTATTATACGTAAATCAATAGTGTAGAATTACTCGGTATATTTCACGGGATGCAGCATCTACAAAACGCTAATTAATTAAAGAGCAAAAGTGTTGGGAAAAGCGAGAGAAGATCCCCCAATATACGTGTGGAGTTCACTTTCACTATGGCTTTTCTATTCTTGCTATTGTTTTTATGTGTAAATAAAGAATGTTTTTGTTGTGCGGTTTCTATGAATAGGAATTTGCATAGTGGCATATAAAAGTAATTTAATGTCAAGAGACAAGAATTAATGTAAGGTACTATATATTATTTCTTGGGCATGTATATATGTCATGGTGCTGACTAATATAATGTGCACACCTCATCATTTTTCGAGCATGCTCGAGATCTTTTGTGGGGAGTTGTCAATCTAGAAGCATATCTAAATTTACCTGGAATTT